GCGGCCCCCCAAAAAAAAAAAAACCTTAAACACACAATTCCCCCCCCCCCCCCCCCACCATTTCCTCCTCCTACCGCTCATGGTCGACTTGGGACCAGTCTGCTGGCTCTTGATTGATTGCGATCGGCGTATTGGGCACCCGTGCCCTAAAAACAAAGGTAATTCGCTGACTAGCTTAGCACTTAGCGCCGTTGTCCGCGCAAGAGCGGTGATTCAGTCATCTGATTGGTTGCCCTCTATGTCAATCAAGTAACGGGATTGATGATAGGCTGACGTAGTACGTTCTGTGCATTAAGCACCGTTGTTTGAATGACAGCGCCATCGCCGAGGCTTTTTCGACAATTGTCGTGTGAAAGCCCGGGAGCCGCATGGAACCAGCCAAAGAGCCGCATGCGCCTCGCGAGCCACGGGTTGGCCACCCCTGCTCTACACTCTCCCTATATACTCTACATTTATTTTGAAAGTCAAGATCAAGTGGGGCAATCATACCTGTCAACTTATACGGTTTACCCATAGTTCATACGGATTTTGTGGTGAATCTTACGTATATGGCCATATCGCACAAATCATACGGATTCTGAAAATTTCCGTATTTTTTTTTTTTTTTTTTCCCCTAACAGGTAGTTCCGTTTGCTTTTGCCCAGAATGGTGCTAGTCTACTAGAATGCTTTCTTTTCCGGTAACTTTCCAGTAAATCACGTGGTTTCTAGTTGAAAACAGCAGAGTATTCATTGCATATTTCGGTAGTGGACAAGCAAGTTCTACAAGGAAATAAATATATCATTCATATTTCGTGGGTTTTTTTCTGCCGTTATTTTGACATATAAAATGCTTTGGTATGTTATAAAGATTTTTTTTGCTCTTTATAAGGATTTTTTTTGGTAGTTTATACACGTTGGCGCTCCGAAAAGTTGACAGGTATGGGCAATGCCTGAATAGAGTGTGACTAAATATCCCTCAATCAATGTAAATGAGCCAAACACATGCGAGAACATTTGCAAATTGCAAGAACAAGTTAAATATTTACAAGAATAAGTAAGCCAAGGTCAACATATTAGAGTGCAGTTTGCGGGCTGTGGCCAAGAGTTGAGTATACTCACTCGTCGGACGTGAAGAGTGAGGCAATGTGATGCCTAAAGCTGCCGATGATGACCACCAAGCATACGGAGACTGATGCTGTGGACCAGGGCGAAAAGTTCAATTCTTTTTTGCGTCATCGGAATAAAATACAAGTCATCGCCACCCTCTCGAGGTTACACTGCGTAAAACCAGCTTAAAGAAATGAGAAAAAAAACCCATGAAAGGAGAACAGTGTTAGTTAATTTTAGCAAAATTATCCGCAAATAGAGACGGACATTTTGTCTCTGTAAGGTTTCTGAAAACAAGTAAACGAAGCTTCCCTTAAAAAAAAAGTGACGTTTTAAAGCCACTGTCAAATCTGTGTGAATATAAGGAAAACATTACATTTTTATTGACACAGTATGTCGAAAACTGTGCTGATTTCAATCATTGGTTAGTGCATTAGTGCAGTCAGCACACCCTTAATCGAAGCAAAGCAAAGATTTTCAAGTTAACCAATGCTTGAAGCAAGCGAGGGCATGCAAAAATTGCCCTGGAAGAAAAATATCTTAGCAGACAAAGAACAAGCATATTTTGCCTCGGTTTGACAAGTCAAATCTTTCGAATGTAGTTTTTGCAGTAGTATCTCATATGATGTCTGACAAAGAAAATATCCATACCCGCCACCAGTGCATCCCATTGAAACGAAATCCGGCAAGCATGTTTCATCCTGACAGAAAGCACGAAAATTGGTCAGACTTAAGTTAAGAGAGCAATGTAGCACTTCTGAGTGCTACATTGGCCCGGTTGGTGCAAGCAATTCAGAAACGGAAGAAGCGGCGTTTGCAGTCAAACTAAAACCTGCGCAGAATATCGTCAGTTTTGTAGACAACTTGGCCAGGTGGGACTTTCCAGCTCCCAGAGTGTGTCCCACTCTAACACATCCTGCCACGCTGAAACCCAAAGGAAACTGACAACAAAGTACACCATGAGTAGTCTCTCAATTTCGTTATCTGATAAAAACAAACCAAAAAACAAAAATCACCATGTAAGCACAGTTTGTGAGTTCGTAGATGATGGACTGAGCTCCGAGTTCTACCTCACTTATGAGACCTGTTCAGAGGAAATAAAGAGATTTTATTTTGCTGCTGACCAACCTGCCAATATGCAATGGCTGACAGTACCTGCTAGAAAGATGGCAATCTCAAAGGTCCACCACTCCGCGCACATCATGACCATGCTGGGAAGAGCCAAATAGAAGAAGGAGCCCCAGTCCTCCAGACAATCTTTGGACCAGCCTGCAGAGACGGGCCAGGTACTTCAAAAGCTTTACTTGTATTTATGTCAAAGATTTCAGTGTAGTGGTACACACGCTGGAGGCAGCTTGACATCGGTTCCCACTCAGTGGCAGTGTGAATGTTCACTTGTCTCTATATTAACATTTCTTAGCCTTCAACAAGTCCTGATTGGAAGTCATTCAATAACACTCTCCTGAAGGAAGCCCTGGTGGATATGAATTACTATCCATCTGCACCACAGTATGTTGCACTCACCTCCCCACGTGACCTTGTGAAGACCTTTCCACAAGATGTAAGCGTAGAGAATGCCAGCCATGGAAAACCGCGACACATTGTTGGCAAGAGCAGAACCTCTGTCAAAGATATTTTCATTTGGGAGTGCAGGAATTAGTCGAGTGTAAACATTAAGAATGAAAGAACTACACAATCTTTGAAGAACTTTTGGTTACTCGTGATAAACATGTTTACCAAATTTCGTATTCCAAAGTGAAACTGGCTTTGCGGGCTGGACTAGGGGGCCAGGGGGACAAAAACTGCAGGATCCTGCCAAGCCAATTTTCATTCAGCGTTGTGACTAATACTAAACCAGTTTTTCCAGCAAGAATAAAAATGTCTAAACTACAATTTATTGCCAAGAACAAACGGAGAAGCAGAGCAATTTCCAATGCTCATTACTCACACAACTCCCATGTTGAATGCAAAGAGAACGATGTAGTTCATGAGGGCGTTGATGAGATTGGCCACAAAGCCAGTGATCACTTGTGGCCAGATGATCCCCTGAAATAATCGATCAAGACGGTTTGAGAGGTTTATACGGTAAAAGCCAGTTCAGACTGAGCAGAAGGTACCTGGTTTTGCAAGTATCTCGACTGCAGATCATACATGAATGAAGCCTGGAAACAAAGATATCGACATTGAATTGAATGCATAAAGCAGAACAGCACTACGACCGGCCACTGTGCGACCGCAACAGTTGCTTGAACAGAATTCATGGGCTTAAAGCCAGAATACAACTTTAAAAATCACGGATGTAACTCTCAGTGCTGCAAAATGATAAATGTGCGCCAACAGTTTCTATCCAAACACACAATGGTCCCTAAAGGGTTCTAGATCCGCCAAAAAGCTACTTCATCTCAAGTGCATATTGAAGTGCCAGCCTTAGATTTTTATTTTAGTTTTTTAATGTGTTTATTTAACTCTTGTACTCCATCTTGTTACCAAGAATATCATAATTCAGGATTAAGGTCGTCATTTCTATAACTTTCTGGAAAACTCACAGGAAGTGCGGGCATGAAGATCTTCACGTACAGCTGAGACAACCTGAGGAGGAGACAATGACCACATAAGTGACAGACACGTTTTTTTTTTTTTTTTTTTTAAATGATGAACATAGAAGAAGATGAAACATTGTAGTCCGCTGACCTGGCAACCTCCGGTTCTTGTCCCAAAAGCAGCAGAATGGACTCTGTGTTGATGAGCAGGGCCCAGCATGGGAAACACGTCAAGATGAGGACGATGATTGCCCTCTGCAGGATCACCCCGACTCTCAGGAGATTGTGGGCACCGTACGTCTGACACATAGGTCTATTTTTCATACTTTCAACAGTGAACAACTGTTCAAATGGTGTTTTCTTCTTTGACCATGAGTGTCGTCATGGTTGTGCACCACTCACTATCGCTGTTACCCACAGGTCTGTTATACATATATCTGACAATTCCTTCAATTCTAGGAGCCCAAAGCCAGTGGCACGGACAGTAGATGTCAATTTATTGAATTCCACCCTGGCGTCTACTGTAGTGACTGACGCACAACTTTGGCTCATGCGTTTAGAAGTCATCCAGTTTTCATACCTGAGAAATCAAAGTATCACACGCTGATGACAGCCCGACACCGACAGATATGCCTGTGACATTCACAATCTGTGGATGAAATGAGTACATGTGCATTTCTTAGGTGCATTTATAGCATCAATGGTACGACATGACACTCACGGCTGTGGCCAGAGCTACTGCATCCAGCTCCACCCTTCCCAAATGACCGCAGAAAGCAGCGCTGACACAACCCACAGTCATCACCAGGAGCTGTGTCAGACTCTGTGTAATAGATGAAAGCAAGGGTTAAGGTGTTGAACAATGGGAGGGGTTTAAAATTGACTCTTCTGACCCGTTTAGCGTCATCCGTTAGGGTTAAGAGTCGGGATTCAAGACTGAGTTAGGGTTTCGAGTTGGGGTTTCAAAACTAGGATTTCAAAGTAGGGTGTCAAGCCATTGTAAAGGTTATAAACAAGGCTTAGGGGTATTAAATTGGAACAAAATAAATGCAAGATCTCAACTCATTCCCAACGAAGCAGCCAGACCACTCAAGTCTTCTAGGACAGATCTATTGTGTGTTCCCAGAACCAGAACCAAAGTGACTCAGCATTTAGTCACTATGTTCCTCGCCTGTGGAACAAACTCCCAGAATACCCGAGGACAATTCAAACTGTCATTTCATTTAAAACAGGGCTTAAAACATTATTATTCACCGCATTATTGTCATGACTCTTTCCTTAATTCTCTTGTTTTAATCCCTATTTGCACGCTAATTTAATCTTTCTCGACTGATGCTTGGTTTTGATCATTTTTTTCATTTAATTATTTCAGATGATTTTTGTAACGTCTTAAATTTTTTTGTTTCTCTTGCTGTAATGCCTTTAATGTTTTATGTAAAGCACTTTGGATCGCCTTGTACATGAAATGTTTTACATACACATACTGTAAACTTGCCTTGTTTTGCCTAAAGTAACATTTCAAGCCACTTTACATGGCTTGGTTCGTCTTTTCTAGTAGGTTACATTGTGCTTATCTAGAAGTTATTGTTATGGTTCGTAAAAATGTCTGTGGTAACTTACCGCAGGCAAAGCCAACATTGACAGGTTTTTTAGTTCATCCTTGAAGCCGGCGGGAATTAACTGGCGTATTCTCCGGAGAAAACAAGCACCTATCCAAGAAAAGGACGGCGAGAAATAGCTTTCCATCATTCGTCACTCAAAAGATCTTCTACTTGTTTTCTCCAGCCAAGAGTTATCGGTCAGTGATACTACAAAGATGGAAAAAAAACCAGAAACGTTTTGCAAGCCGTCCACGGGGCACTGGGGGGGACTAACTAGCTATCCAAGTTGGCGATGCATGGATATTCAGAAAACAAAATGAACCAATATACAGGGAAAATAAGCTCATATATTCAGCGAACTCCGACGAGAGCCCTAATATGGTCTGCCATGTGTTTCCAACAACAGATTCCAGCTGGTTCGCAACTTCCCTATTGAGACATGTGTACTGTCATCATTTTGCCAGGAGATGGAGCCATTGTATGTGTTTTTCCCAATACCCATTGCATTTGTGCTGCCATATTTCATCTGGTTTGGAAGTCAATTATTTCAGTGCATACTTACGAAAATGAAACAAGCATATTGTCTACATACAAAGTAATTCGAATGAAAATAGTTACATATAATAATTATTGTTATTATTCTTTATTAAAAATAATCAAAGTATCATAGAATAATTGTATCACACAACGTAGCCTTGCAACATTACACATAATATATATTTTTAATTAACTAAGATTTTAAAAAATATATAGTTTTTGTTTCATTTAAAACCAAAATAAATGATACAAATGTGTCTATAATTTGCTCATCCAACTTTTTACAATTCTGCGAGTATCAAAGTTGTAAAAAATTAACAAAATAATAATGCATTTTCTCCCCGTGCCTGCGTGAGTTTTCTCTGGGTTCTCCGGTTTCCTCCCTCATTACAAAAACATACATAGAAGGCGAATGGAACATTCTAAATTGTCCCCGGGTGTGAACCCTGAACTGGTTACCAGCCAATCACAGGGCACACATAGACAAACAACCATGAGCGCTCACAACCACACTTCGGGACAATTTAGAGTGTTCCATGACCCTGCCATGCATGCGATGTTTTTGAACGTGGGAAAAAAACGGAGTACAGTACCCGCAGAAAACCCATGCATGAACAGGGAGAACATGCAAACTCCGCACATGAAGGCTGGGGCCAGAATTGAACCCTGCACTACTGCACAATGAGGCAGACATGCTACCCAGTTGCCCACCGTGCCGACCTCAAGGAAATATAATCAAGATGTTTAATATTAAAACATATACATATTTGCAAAGTGTGTCTTACCATTAAAATACGAAAAATATCAACAAAACAGAAAAAGGGGAGCGTGAATCACATTCTCAATGTTGCTGTTAATTTTTTAATAGGTTCAATGGTTGAATGATAGCAGAGGACAGACTTTGCTGGGCTTTTATTGTGTGTGTTTCTTTTGTCTGGGAATGAAGCCAGGAAAACAAGGCACATGTTGCACCTCCTCCACCATGGCACCATGTCAGGTTGAAGTACCAATTGAAAGAAACGTTCGGAGATGTCAAATAATTTCAGCTGACTGAATGCAAAGAAAAGAGCCTCTGTCATCCTTCCAGCTGCTGGGTGGAAGCAATCGGGACACAGCACACAACCCTTTTTGTATTGACATGATCCTGTCACACAGGAGGCGCATTGTCCACCTGTGCAACTGATACACAGGATCAGGATCTTTGGAATGTGATTTTTTTTTTTTTTTTTACATGCTCGATGTCAGTGACTGATTAAGCATGCCTTCCCACTGGATGGATAACAATGGGTTAATAATTAGAAGCATGACAGACCTCCATCAAGGCCAAAAAGCGGTACAACTTCATAAGAAGCGTCTGAAGTACTCACACTTTGCACTTGAAAAAAGTACAGCTACTCAGCAAATGCCGAGTGAAATGTCACAGGAACACAACCATTTGTCGATGCGTCTAGTCCTTCGCCATACCATCACAAACAGCAACAAACTCCTCCTGCTCCAAAAATTACTTGATGCCGTGTCTTTTTTAGGGTGTAAAAGTAAAATACAAATGCCGGAAAAAGAAATACTCAAGTAGAGATACATAAAAAAGCTGCTAAGTTTAGGAATGAAGTATTTGTACTTTGTAACTTCCCACAGCTGACTTTAAGGCTAATTTATTCTACCCTCTACATTGCTGACTTATACAAGCAAAGCAAAGGTCATTTTGTGCAACGTCTCAAAGAAAAAAAAAAGGCAGATGACACACAGAACAATAGGAGTGTCCGCCCATCAGAGTATTAGTGTGCTTCACTCACTCTGCACTGTCAAAATCCAGGAAGAAGTCCTAAATTAAGTATCAAGTATGCGTTCCTATGAAGTTGAGAAATGCTCACCCAGTTCTTTGGACTTTTAACATTGTTCTGAGCAACGATTCAATTTATCTGAAAAATAAACAAATAAAAATGTTTGGTTGTGTTTTGGGTGTTTGGGATGGGAGGGGGGAAAAATGATAGTTAAAAATTGACTAGGTAAGCTCCATAATGTGCCAGAAAGTTTCTTCTCACTGTCTGATCAATTTCATTTTTAAAGAATGAATTTGCGCACAGCAAATAATTATTTCAGATTTATTTATTGAAGTAAAAATGTAACTTGATCTAGCCAATCAAATAGATGACTAATCTCATCCAAAATTTGGCAAGACGTGTTTTTGTTCGTCAGTAGTCACCAGAAATATTACTATTCACTCTTGAATTGCTTTTCGGCTTTTTGAGTTCTTTGGACTTGTCTCATTGTTTGGGGTATTGGTCAAGCCACTAACCAATGTGTGTGAAAAATAATAAGTGGGTTGGATCAGGAAGGGCACCCGATGTAAAAACTCTGCCGACCATATCGTGCAAGTAACTTTGCTGTAGCAACCCCTGACAGCGCAACGTTGCTTCTTTTTCTCAGAAAATGTTGGTAATCAAATTAGGACTGTACTTTTAACACTTTCATGCACAAATAATAATAACCTACATCAGGACTTTTTTTTCTCAAGTGTTTGTATTAAGTCTTTTAGGCATGGGGGGGAAAAAATAATGGCGGTGGATGGCAACACACTGTAGTGGTTGATTCACAACTGTGACATGAAGATGAATTCATATAAGAGAAAACAACATGTGACTAGCTGTCCACTCTAGTAATCGCTGTCCCTGAAAGGGTTAACTACAGCTATATTGGTAACCCATTTTTTAGTAACTTTAACTAGACAGTTCTTGCCCCTTGTTAGATTAAAATCCCACGACACCCCTCAAAGTGCTGGGTTAAATCCTCAACCCTATGCAATGGGTACAAATAACCCAGCATTGGCTGTATCCTTTTTGGACCCAGCGTTGGGTTAGATAGTTCACCCATTTTCGGCTACTTTTGACCCAGCAGTTTTAAAAGTTGTACAATCTGACATAAGAGTATTTTTTTTTGGGGGGGGGGGTCATAAAATTGCACACAGAGTATCTGTAATAATGTAATTATATTTTATTCAGTACAAAAATTTAGTTGATCACTGGAATTGCTCGAAGAGTCTTTTTTTTTCCATTTGTGTGGCCTGTTACTGTCGGCAAGCTTAGTTGGAACTGCCCCATGGTTACAGTATCATACTTGCATCGCTCTTCCCCTTGGGCATTGAGTTTCTTGTTCTTTTCTCATTATTGGGAGTATTGCTTGATCGAACAAATCTATTAAAACCACAACAAAAATAGATCCCACCCTTGTTTCTAATGAAAAAGGATTACGGTAATTGTGCTAGCTGTAATTAAAAAAAAAAAGACTTCCTCTTTAGAATTTGTGAGTCATTACAAAGCTTCAAAACTTGAGCTAACACAATTGCTCAACAGATTTTTTTTTCGACTGGTCAAATCCTATTTGTGTGCCCTTTGTGTTCCTGGGCACAGTTTACTGAGCGTCAAGAAATGGCATTAGAAGGATTACAAGATAACATTTATTTATGCACTTGAATTGCACTTCTGTATTAAATATAAAATGGAAATCAGTCCAATACCTCACTGGAGCACCACTTATCATGTCAAGAAAAAAGAGACTGAGACTTTATTTTGAAAATCTCACATTCAAAAATGTCTCCAGGAAAAAAATATATATACAGCAGCACATCAGACATAACTCATTATTGCATACTCGAATAATCATTATTGCAAAATGCCGCAAGTGCGGCATCGATTGGAATCGGAAAATAAACGGGAATGTTGGCCCAAGTCTTGATGTGATTCAGAAAATGATTCCCAAAGCTGAAATAATGCTGGAAGGAAGCCCCTCTCAGGTCAAATCTGCTGTAAAAGTCCATATCTATTTGCTGTCTATTGTACAAAATAATCATCTTCAACATAAATTAGATGATGAGGTACATACACTTTGATTCTTTAGCCGCCGAAAATTAAAAATGTCAATTTGTAGTATACTGAAATCCATCATGTAAACAATGTAAATGTGCAATACTAGTAGTGGATTGTTATAACTTGAGTGTGAACGGCTAAGCAGCAACATTCTAACATCTGGTCAATGTTATTTGTTTTTAATGCCTCTTTTTTTTGTTGTTGTTCAACAATTCACCGTCTCTTGCTCAATTGTTACTTCTGGTGACATGTTTTGTTACAGTGCTCGGGTTAGTTCTAATTCAAACCTTGTCCGTATTTTAGTGTCACATATCACTGTTTCACATGTCTTTTTCAATTCTTTCCAAGTGTTTTGGGGACAGAGAAGACCTCATTTGTGATGGTTTTTCGAAGAAATGAAGGCGTTGTTACCCTTTACTGCTGATTCATCATCCACGAGGCTTGAGTGTGGACTGGAAAATAAACAGGGTGGGGAGACTCAGCAGTGCAGACCATGTCAGACCGTGATGTGGCTCAGAGCAGAAGAGCAGGAGACCGCTACAGTCGCTGTCACGGCCCGCTCACGTTGGCCCACGTAGGAAAGGTGTCCAGGTGAAACATTGCTCGGCCCCAAGTGTTGATGGCCAGTGTGATGCACAGTATGCCAATGATGTTCATGACTATTCCAGTCCTGGCCTGAAAGATGAGAAAAGGTTGAACAGACAAGACGGACGGAGATGAATGAGGAGGCCAAACTGAACAGACGAGACTGCCGGAAAGTTAGAAGGTGGGGAAGTAGCAAGACAGGAATCACCGTCCCGCAGATACATTTAGTAGGTCGTGGAGTTGGTAGATAAAATGCACAGACAAACAAGGATCGAGTAACAGATGAGGTGGTAGGCACAAAGACTCGGTGAGAGAGTGACAGACAAGTCGATCATTTGACTGGTTAGCTATGCGAGTTCCCCTCTGGTCCCGATGAACCGAGGCCAACGGAGCGCACTCACCATGTCCGAAACCTTGAGGTATCCGTAGGAGAAAACAATGGCGTTGGGCGGCGTGGCTACGGGCAACATGAAGGCGAAGGAGGCACTCAGGGTACAAGGCACCATGACGTACAGCGGGTTGATTCCGATGGACTGCGACTGCGGA